AAGAGAACGTTTTCGTGAAGTCTTCTTGTTTCTACTTGGAGCTTTAACTGCCAAATGATGACATCGAGGTTCCCTCCGATTGCCTGTTTTGGTTTTGGGTTCTCGAAACGCGACTGAAAACTGCTCCATTTGAACAGAAACAAAAAACGGCAAAGGTTTGAAGCGAGGCGTTAAATACAGACACTGATCACAGAATAGTTAAGATTACATCATTCCTTCTACCTTAGTTCCCAGTCCGTTTTCGGTGTAGTTAAACCACGTGCTACCATCCATGCTGAAACTCAGAGTAAATTTGCGCACGAGCCAATATTTAGTCTCCTGACCTTGAATGGCCAGGCCTTTTATTTCATCAGCGTAACCCAAGTCTACTTGAAAATATGGTTCGGCATTATCGCTGAAAGATAAGGGAGTTTGCCTGTTGTTGACTACGCGCATTTTTTTCCATAAGGAAAGCAGTCAGGGCATAGAGGAATTTGAACGATCTTTTAGAATATTTTTGTGTGTTATGTGCATGGATTGGCAGACGAAATGAAAGTCTTCATTGGCTTAGTGGAGATGGTTGCAAGATCGACATAAGTTAACAAAAAAGTAGTACCTGAGTACAAGGTAGTAGGGAATTTTTCGTCGAGCGTTCAACTCGGTATATACAAAGTATCTCACGAAATAGCATAGCGAATGACTGAGATATCGAGTTGAACACAAGAAGAAAAATCCTATATCTACGAGTAACCATGTATGATTTTTTTTTTAATCGTATTAAAACCATAGGCCACAATCCGAGAAATTTTTGATAATCGACCTTGGATTGAAAATTGTAAACGGTGTGCTGTTCATTCGTCAACCTAACAAAGTGGCGCGAAGGGTGAGTGACGTGTTAGCAGTTGACTGGCTATATGAAACACACGTGAAAAATACCGTCATTTTACCCTTGCGTTGTGTCGGCTTTCTCAGGGCTGGAAATCCTTTTATAATACCGAAGTTTTTCAGTATACAGTATTTGCATTTCAATGCCTTTCGGAGAGAGCTTTAATCATAACCATTTGGAAACCAAGCACTTGTTCTGTTTCGAAGCCTTCCGTAGGATGCCGTATAACTCTCGCCTAATGCTGTAAAGTCGAGAGTCACTCAGTAAACCGGTCTGTAAACCATAACTGCAGTCTGAAGGTTCAAGACAAAACTAAGACATCAATGATAAAGTGAATTATTATTAACCATGAATAGCGCCGAGCTTTTTCCATCTCTCGCAGCGTTGAAGAGAAATGAAAAATAGTCAATAAAGAGAAAAAGTCGGCAACTTGAACAATCAGTCGCTGTAACGAAGCGCTAGAGCTCGACTGCAAGCATTAGAGACTCTTTACGGCTGCCAATTTAGATTACTGTCTTAACTCTGTTGAAAACCAAATTATCTTGCAATCAGAGTGAAAACCGACAAGTAATATTTTTTGATAGCGCTAATTTGCACACTGCAAAAAAAACCTTTCAATATTGGTGTATAAAAATTTCATAGAGGAAAGATCCGAAACCTTCTATAACAAGACATTAAAAGATGATGCAAGAAAAAATAAACACATTTTTACCTGGATTTGGAAATGTGTAAACTCGTTTAAAAGCGTCAGATCCCTCGACACATTTCCTGCCTAATGCTACCACGTCTCCTTTCGCTGGAATATTACCACTGACAGACTGCAGGCACAATCCACCAGGGCTGTACTTGATTGCCTTCCCATAAGCCATTCCACTGGTCTTTTGAAATCTAATTCAAAATTAAAACTTAAATGATACTATTTTCTCTCGGCTCTGCGAAAACTGTTGTTTAAGCTTGCCAGTAGTTTTAGGGAAATGGAATTAGT